CGTATTCCGCGTACGGCACTACCAGAGCTTTTTAAGCATGCTTTTAAGCGCGCGCTCGGGAGATACCGTGTCGTTATAGCGGGCTCGCACTGAAGAGCATGCTTTAACGGCTCCGGTAGTGCAGTTCGCGGAACACGGTTCATGTTTTCTAAAAATCCCCAATAATCTCAGAAACAACCCTCTCCCCCTTGCCTACGTTTCCCCAGGAAAGAAGGAAAGAATTTCAGAATAAAGAACAGCTTGCGGTTTGGCAGCCACGTGCCCCCATACTTACAGTCTAGCCGCTTTTCACTCATATGTTTCCACAGATCTTGTTTCTCCCATTGTTCGAGAGAGTGTGCCCGACTCCTAGAGGGAAAGGCATCAGGACAGGGACTGTCAAACCATGCGTGCACTTTGGCTTGGGGTCGAGGAAATGTTCTGTCTGGCGACCTTTATCACTCGCCGGTGATACTTGTCCCCTTTAGATAACGGATGTTTTCTCCATATCGTTTCCTGTTGAAGGTCGTGGAACCCCGGGTTGACCTCATTCATGGGTTCCGGAAGAAATGTCCCTGGAAGAAACGTCCCCGGAAAAAAATATCCCCGGAAAAAAGGTCCCCGGAAATTATGTCCCCGGGAAAAAAAGGCCCCAGGTGGAAAGTAGGAATAAATGGCTCCAAAGGGACATTTTTTACGCTTTCCTCGGTTTTTCCTTATTCTCACGGCCCTCGGGTGATCCTGTCACTGTCCGGTCACAAATGACCCGAGTCCACACTCGTCGAAATGGAACGCCGTCATCTCAACCTCTGCGAAAGGTACGCCGCTGGCCCGCAGTCTTGAATAGTAACGCGTTACTAGTAACGCGTTACTAGTAACGCGTTGCTGTAATTTTGTTACTTTTTTGGTAACTTGTAACTGTAACGAGTTACTTTTTTAAAATGTAACTTGTAACTGTAGTTCTATTACTTTTTTTAGGTAACAATGAAAGTAACGACGTTACTTTTGTCGTTACTTTCCAGTGTTTTATGAATGATATTTCACTGAACGAGCACAATTTAGATACTTCTTGCACTTTTCAAATCGTCTATTCCAACATTTCGAGTGTCAAGTTGGCCTTGCACAAACTTGTGAATACTTTCTTTCTCGCGAGTCACGACCCGAACATAGCCACGTGCAGATATCATGAAAAAAAAAAAATCTAGTTGTCTTTACGCACGCGCTTGTACTTTGTGACTGAACACCTACATCTTAGTGTCTTAAAGCACTATCTATGTTGTGTTTTTTCTTTTTTCAGGGAAAACGCTTTTTAATCCGGTGAATCAACCGTGAAACCACAATACACGCGGAGGGCTCTGCGCATGTTTCGTATTTTGATTAGCGCTAGTACTTCGCACTGCCCATGTTTCGTATTTTTATTTGCGCCACTAATGTGGCGTGGAAATTCTCAAACACTAATTTCGAGAAGCAACTTCTGCTAAGTTGCAATATGAAGTAAAAACGTACTTTTTAATTTTATGCAATTGGTGAAGGGCGTTTTCTAGTTTTTCCTAATTTTTTTTTTGTGTTATAGAAAAGTAACTGAAAAGTAACGTCGTTACTTTTTAAAAGTAATTGTAACTGTAACGAGTTACTCTTTTGTTGCGGTGACTGTAACGGTAACTTCGCTACTTTTTTCTGAAAGTAACTGCAACTGTAACGAATTACTTTTTAAAAGTAACTTACCCAAGACTGCCGCTGGGGCAATCGGAATTGAAAATTTCATGTGTGCCGTCGGCCGTGCGATCCTCTTTTGACTTTCGTGTATGAATCTAGAGTATGTCATTTCATTCCTCATTTTGTAACATTGCATCTCAACTGTTTTTGTTTGTTTTAGAGCGCATGCAGCTCTTAGGCACCCATTTCCGGCTTGAGCGGCGTCGCCGTCGGCGTAACCGCGCGGTGCATTATGGGACGCGTGACCTGTGACGATGACGATGACGTCACGTGATTCCGGTGACGTCAAATGACCCTCGTGAGGTCACGTGACTCCGGTAACGTCACGTGACCCCCGTCTTGTTACGTGACCCGGCGAGTTCACGTGACCTCACGAGGGTCACGTGACCTCACGGCTACGCCGACGCCGCTCGGAGGGAGGAGTAGCAGGCAGGATGAAGAGGTGAGGTGAAGGGAGGAGGAGTATACGTTCTCCTCAGTACCCTTCCCTCCTCCACCTCAAGAGCTGCGCTCTAATTCGGTGTTACAGGGGGTTGTAAGCGACTTTCATTTTTTTCTCCCAGTATTTAAAAGACTGGCATCAAAGCTAATTTAATGACGGAATGTGCTCAGTTGGCGTTTTGACCTTTATTCCCGACTTTATTCCCGACTTGGTTCCTGCAACATTCGAATCACTTCTTACACCCAGGGGCGTTGATGTTAGACTGACTCTCATTTCAGTAGTCAATAAGCGTTCCTAACGGACAGCAAAGCCGCGTGCGTCAGAAACACTTATCAAGAGAAACAATAAAATACGCGTTATTTTCGTTGAAACACAATACCACCGCGTCTTTGTGATAATTTTAGCGGGAAGAAAACGCCTAGAGCTGGGAATATTCCCACAATTTCGTTAAAGGTGCCACGAAAACAAAATGGAAAAATGCTGCGGCGCATTTAAAGGTTCCTTTGTTTGCCAACTACACGCCGGCCAAAGAAGCGTGTCAGGTCAACCGAAAGAAATCAGCCATGAACAGAAACGTGAAAAGGCTTGATAACCACTCTGACGAGGGGTTTCCCCAGGAATTGAAATTAAGGGTGGTGTCGAAATGCTTAGGGGGGCGTGTTGGGGGGGGGGGGGGGGGGGGCATTGAGAATAGAGGAGTCGTTTCTAGTTAAGAGGGTGCCTTCAGAAAAACAGGGGAGATGTACACCCCCCCCCCCCCCCTAGGGTGTGTGTAGGGAAATCACTGACGCTGACAGCGCTTGTTTGGCTTATTAAAGCATGAATCGGTTTATTGAGCCTTCTATGCTTTAAATCATTATTCTTTTAACTTGCTACAGTCCTAATTTTTCTCAGGTATTCATGGAATGTGTCTATTACCACGAGAGGAGTTGTGTTCCGAAGTATTTGATTCGTGCAGCTCTTACTGAACTAACTACCGAACCCTTCGATATATTTCTCACAGAGCCTAGCATTATCCTTAATAAGTGTCTTCCAGTCAAATCTTGTAAACAAAAGCTGTACGCTTTGGGTAGGTGAAAATATACAAAACTCTTAAACACATGAATAAAGAAAAGAAGAACGGAAAATGACGTTTGCTTTTGTTTTACGTCGTTGTGGTCTTCTACATTTACATGCAAGAAGGACAACGTACATCGCGTCCTGGAAACAAAATGGGCAACTTTACATGTTTAAAGTTTACAGTGGTGCTGTGGCGACGCCGCCGAAGTGAAGAACACGTCGATACTTTTCTGTAGACGTAAGCAAAGCAACGTAGAGCGAGAGCCCCAATAGCAACAAACATATAATGCAAAACAGCACGAACACGATCTTGACAGTTTCCAAATGGGCGTAAGTGGCACTTAAACTTTCCACCGTGCTGAAATGTCTTCAAGATAATGCGGCAATATAAGGAGACGTATAAGGGCCTTTCCTAAATCGACTGCGAGCACGAGTCGGCGTGGTAGAACCCCTTCGCAGTCAAGCCAATTTTCTATCAGACAAGAAGCAGCCGCATCGAGGTATAACTGGGGTGACCTCCCGCCATGTTGTAAAATGACTTTACAAAACCTCCGGATAAACTCATCACGTAGTTCGTTATCGTCCCTGCCGTTATTGTCTTCGCAAGCAACCTGAACTCAGCCAAGCAGGTGAGTGGCTGGACGGACGTTCTGCAAGACCGGGTCTTCGCATGCTTCCTGACGTTGGCGACAGGCGGAAGGCTGCATATTATTTTGTTCCCGCGATGTCTCAGATATCATGGTCTCTATGTACGACGCTTCCTAAAGCGATTACCTTTTGCGTCGCGAATCTCTACAAAATATGGAGTATGCGATTCCAAAGGGTATTGCCACCGTATTTCGTACTCGACCTATAGCCTTCTTTTTATGTGGTGCGAATACCATGATATGTCATTGGGTTTGATAAGTGCCCGGTATCAAAACGTGATCGCTTTAATCTCAGATGAGGTCCGCGATGAGATACTTTCAGTGAAATATGGGGTCATTTTTAGTGATCCCTACTACATATATGTCCAACACCGAGGTGTCTACACTATACTTCGAAGTGACGGCAGAATTCTGCTGATGAAGGACAGCCAAGTGGAATGCCTGTCACCTAGGGAAGGTCATGCCGCCGCAAGCTGGAAGCCTCGTCTCTTAGAGCAACTTCCCTTGGATGGGGCTCGATTGACGATGAGTTGCATTTACCCTCCATGGTGTGGGCATCCCACATACGCGGTACTCCTGGATGCCTTAGATCACAAAACCGCCAGTTTTCGCTAGAAACACTATTCTGGATCAACTTATCATGAGTTATATTTCAACGACAGTTACACACCTATTGAAAATGAAGTCAAGATTGTGGGTGGGCACTGGTCTCCATGGAACCTGCGTTTTCCAATGAAGGTACGACCGCGCTTTTACCATTCAACCGGGTGTACGCTTTTTACGAAGAGAAGGTACCCCCTGCCAAAGGGGGCCGTGCTTATCCTTCCCTTCTTCTTCCAGGCATGGACAGCGCTGCTATGCGGGATGTTGTTGAGTGCATTCACTATATTTCTTGCGCTTTGGGCCGACAAGAAAACAATTTTCAGTGCTCACACCGCGGTGCTTGCCTTTGTCGCCTCATTGCTGCAGCGAAGCGATCAACTCTCCTACAACAAACGAAGACAGTTTTCAACAGAGCTTTCTACAGCTCTCTGGAGTGTCATGGGTCTTGTGCTTGCTACGGGATACAAAGGTTCACTGACGGCACTCCTGAGGAACGTACCTCTGGAAGCCGAACATCCGACATTCACGAACCTCAGTAGCGTCTATCAGCAAGGATGTGTCCTCCAGCTTTTCACTTCAAGGATTTGGGGTATGATACTTTGACAAAAGACGCCGCGAAAATCGTCAAGGCCGAATGTCTTAGACTAAGGAAGCACAAAATAATTCAAGACAAAAAGTATTTTCCCATGACGTACGAGTTCGCGGGTCGACACACCAGTACCATCCATCAAGAACTCCGCAAGCTCGACTACGTCTCAACAGGGGAACTCATCTTCAGGGCGATTGATGGACCCGAGATTATGTACGCATGGCAATTCAGGGAAGCTTTCGCGCAGACCGTTGGCCAAGCCCAGGAGTGTGACCTGTTTAGCAGGGCAGAAGCTCTTCAAGAATGCAAGATCAAGTACCAAACCTATAGCGTCGGCGTCTCTACAGAGCCGGAAGTTTTGACACTAGGCGACCTCGTCCCCTTCTTTCTCATCTGGTGTGTGGGACTCGGTGCAGCGGTACTCATCCTTGTGCTTGAAGTGGCTTCGGCTTATTTACGTGTCTTGTGTGTAAAGCCCAGACGCCGCAACAAACAAGTTTTGTTTAAGAAGCCCAGACCCTTCAAACGGCGTAAACAGAGACTGGACATGAATCAGTGTTTGGCTTACTGAACTGAACTTTTTCTCTTCCTTTTGGTGTGCCACTGACCAACTGTGTAACCCCCTCCGCACCCCCAAAAATGACTAAATTAGCTTTCCTGCTGTATGAAAGCAGCCGATCACAGTGAACAATAAAAGGATTCCAGCGAATGGCATAGTATATGTTGAGACAAAAAAAAAAAAAGTGATGGCCGGAAGGAGAATGAGCATGTCGTGGCAGTTGCTCATCACCCCTGGGCACATCGCATGTGTAATAAGTATTCGTATTCTGAGCTTCGTCATTTTGTCGGATTCAATTTTTTGGCGTGATAAGCTGCCTCCGTGTTTTGCAGGAAGGTAAAGCAGCAGACATTTCTTAGAATAGACTGAATATCTGCAAAGTCATCTTGCCTGCCAGCACGGTTGTACAAAAATAAAAGTGTCACAAAGAAAACTATATTGAAGATCTGCTACACTTATAGTTTTAGAACGCAGCTCTTAGGCGCCCGTTTCCGACTTGAACGGAGTCGCCGTCGCCGTCGGCGTCGGCATAACCGTGAGGTCACGCGACCCCGTTGAGTCACGGGTCCCCGTGAGGTCGCGTGACCCCGGTGACGTCACGTGACTCCCGTGAGTTCACGTGTCCCCGGTGACGGCACGTGACCCCCGTGATGTCACGAGGGTCACGTGACGTCATGAGGGTCACATTACGTCACGGGGTCACGTGACCTCACGGGGTCAGGTGACGTCAACGGGGTCACGTGACCTCACAGTTACGCCGACGCCGCTCGGAGGGAGGAGTAGCAGGCAGGATGAGGAGGTGAGGAGGCGGGAGGAAGGATATACCTTCCCCACAGTACCCTTCCCTCCTCCTCCTCAAAAGCTGCGCTCTAATTCGGTGTTACAGGGAATGGGAAGCGGCTTTCATTTTTTTTCACTGTGAAATAAACATTTATAACGATTCTAGCCAAAACCAAATAATCGTGTTTGGGGAGATTTGAGAGGAACTTGTGGGTACCATTTCCAAATAAGTAAAAAGCGCAACACTGTTAGCACAAACAAGCGATTATTAGTTTTTTTTATAGGAACGAAAGGTTAATTGATCTCAAAGTTATTATAGGTGCTGAAAGTGCTTATTTGGGATATAATGAAGACGGTGAAATTTCGTTCCCACTAATACTCTTTCGAAGTAAAATGTGAAAATGCGCCAATGTCGTGTTCGCGCTAATGGCGTCGCGATGTGTACCTTGGGGAATAGTATATTTCCTTATTTGTTGGTGCCGTTTTTTTCTACTTGCCACACGGTGTCTTTTTTTCCAAGGACATATGACCGGACCGCCCGAAGGCCATGAGGATCAGGGAAACCCAGAGATAGAGACTAATGGGGACATTTTTTCCTACTTTCCACCTGGGGCCTTTTTTCCGGAGACATTTTTTCCGGGGTCATTCTTTCCGGGGACATTCTTTCCGGGGACATTTTTTCCTACACCCCTCATTCATAGCTTCCACTAGTCAGAGATGTTATGTTCAAGTTCTCAAAGGACCGGAAACATTGTCATTTTTTTTACCGTCTTACGTTGTGACCCGCAAGCTGCTTTTTTATGCTTTCGGGTTTGGGGCGGGGGGGGGGGGGGGGGGGGGGGGGATAACTAGGCAGCGATTAGTGAAAGCGGGTCTGGAACGCTTGCATGGAAGGGCGAAAGGTTTGCTGTACTGTACCGAGGTCATGCTTGGATTGAAAAAGGGGACATGTGCATACGGGACAGAAAAAAGTGCTAAATGATTGTTAGCATTTCCTGCGAAGAGGAGCTGGAGCACCGTCATCATTTCTTCAGCTGCCTTTACTGTATCCTACCTGCTCTGTCGAAACAAGAAGTTAATTTTTGCCTACGTCTAACTGACCACACTGACCCTCTCGTACGAGGTACTTTCGTCACAGGAACACTCGTCAAGGAGGGCGATTCGTCACCGGAACACAGGTTGCAAGGTTGACCCGGTACCAGAGAGAATACGTTTGGCATTGCTTTAGAGAAATTAACTAGGGTCCAGTGTCCTCGTGTAGCAAAAAATACGGGACTTTCAAGGTAGCGCCGTTTCTCTTCTATCAGGTGTACACGGTGCATGGGCTGTACCACGGTACTGTGAACCCGCTTCTTGTACGCTCTGCTTCCGAGCAAAAAGGGGAAAACCCACTAGCGGTAATTTTCATTGTGCATATTGCATGGTTTGAGTTTTCATATGTCGCAAACTATAGCATCACTTTCATTTCTTTTTCGGACCTTTCTCGGTGCTCTCCGGCTTCATGTCATGTGTGGAAGTCGAGGTAATCCACTGCGACTTCGAGGCGGCCGTGATCGCAGCGTGTCGCAGGAATTTCTCTCAAGCGAGAGTTCAAGGACGTTTCTCTAAGCTTGAAAGTAAGCCATAATCATAATGACAACCTGGTACTTTATTCGGCTTACCATGTAATTAAGCCTCCCAGAAAAATGCGTTCCTCTTTTGGAACGTCATATGCTGTAGCATATTTTCACAAATTCGTAGTATTACCGAGCCCGATCACCAGAACAAACTTTAAACGCCGAAATTGTAATTCGTTTATTAGCTCTTCTACGCGTTCTCATTACTTATTTCATTTAATCAGTACGGTTCGTTCATCTGCACGTTTGGATTATTCTCTTATAGGCATACATATGGTGGAGAAACAACCAGTTGTGTCACTGCCTCTTCGTCACATACCAAAAAAAGAAGTTTTTAAACTGCATATGATCAGAGAATAACAAAAGTGCATGTCAAGCCAATACAATATTCGATCGACGTATATGTCAATAAGTATTGTCTTTTCTAGATGCGAATCTTACCCGCGTTGGCGTTCCTGCCACCTGAAGGCTCCAGATGCCTTTGGCGAGCTTCTCGAGGTCCTTCCTAGTGAGGCCACCGATTTGGCGATATACTACGAAGACACCTATTTTGGACGCCGAAGGCGCAGTGGAGTTCACACAGCCATGTTCCCACCGTGCATGATGCCGTGCAGCAAGATATGCCACGCACTAACAACGCTGTCGAAGCCTGGCATCGATGCTTCCAGGCGAGTTACAGTTGCTTTGGTTCTCCCTGTTTTAATATGCTAGAGTCAGTATTTTCCGTAATATTTTATATTAAACTGCACTTGTTTTGTTTCTGGCTGCGGTCCAACGTCGACTGCTGCCTTCCCAACCTCTGGTCCTTCCTGAGGTGTCTGAAGGATGAGCAAGCACTACAAGAACTGAAGAGGGCCCAGCTAAACGCGGGACAACCGCCGCCGCGTCTCGCAAAGATATATAAAGAAGTAAATGAGCGCATGTCTAGCGTTCTAGAGGAGAAATTCACCGGATCTCCTCCCTGCACGCTTCGAAATATTGCTAGGAATATCCGGTTTTGAGTTCCATGCGCAATAAAATCGAATTTGTTATATGTTCTTTCTAAACCGTGTCGTGGCATCTAGTTATATTTATTTCAGTTTCAGCGCCATGCTTTGATCACAGCTGCCAAACAGGTGCGTTAAATAATTCATAGGAATAAACAGAAGCAAAATTTGTAGTTCTACAGTCCAACTCCACGCCGCGACACGAGTGTTCTTTGTGACGATTATTCCGGCGTGACGACAGTTCCTCCTACGAGATGTCCTGTGACGAGTTGGCTTCCTTGACCAGTTCACCTATGACCAGTTGGCCTGTGACGACCGGGCTTGTGACGAGTTCTTCTAGACCACTTTAATGACGGCACTTTTCAAAGAAACCGCTGCAATTCGTGGTCCAAACGAAACGAAGGCTTATTTACAGCGGTTCAATGACTTAGTATTGTAAGTGATTCTTTTATCAAACGTTTATGGTAGTCTTTTAGAGCGCAGCTCTTAGGCGCCCGTTTCCGGCTAGAGTGACGTCGCCGTCGCCGTCGGCGTAACCTCGCGGTGCATTATGGGTAAATTTCCCCGCTAAATCTAGCGGAAAAATTTCCCCGCTAAATCTAGCGGAAAAATTTCCCCGCTAAATCTAGCGGAAAAATTTCCCAGCTAAATCTAGTGGAAAAATGGCCCCGCTAAATCTAGCGTAAAAATTTCTCTGGGGTGTCACGTGACCTGGGGGCAGGGTGTAAGATAGACAGGTGGGGAAACGGCCCATAGAAGCCTACCGCAGCGCCGTGACCGGATTGTGTACTCGTCTGCTTGCGGGTACCCCCGATTTGCGACAGATGGCGCTGCGGCGAGAGGAAAAAAAGTCGGAATCGGATTTGCGTGGAACTCTATGGGAGAGTGCGCAAAATAAACCGAGAGCACGACATTCCTTCATTGAAAATCCACGAGAAATCATCTCCGTGAGTTTAGCCGGTCGCCACCGGTCGTCCACCCGGAGTGAGAGTTCGCTGTGCTGCACATAGATGGCGCCACAAAAAAAGAGAAACCCGAGGGGGACACAATCCGGTCGCTCATTTGGCTCTCGTTTCCCCACCTGTCTATCTTACACCCTGCCTGGGGGTCACGTGGCCCCCGCCGAGGTCACGTAACACCCCCAGGTCACGTGACCCCAAGGCCACGTGACCCTCAGTACCCTTCCCTCCTCCTGAAGAGCTGCGCTCTAGTTCGGCTTTACAGGGAGTTGTAAACGGCTTTCATTTTTTTTTTCACTTTCTTCCACTGATGCCGAATTCCACAATGGTATACGCTTTGTGCGGGAACTATAGGGGGCGCTTTGAAAAACGCGCGTAACGCCGCTAGCGGAGGAGCTGGCGTTCGACAATGAGGCGTCTTTTTGCATGCCAAGCTGTGGTGGCGGAAGCGCGCACGGACGGAAGTTTTGCTTTTTAAGCCGATATGTTGAGGGTGACGTTGCATGAGGGCTGGGGCAGACCCAAGAAGGGCATCTAGCTGTTATCCGCTTCTTATATTGAGTTTTAGTCGTTAAAGGGGTTATGACACGAAAATTAAACTGATAGATTATTCTTGAAATGGAATGCTCATAAGCTACTTAGTGTATACACCAAGTTACTCAATTTTTATA